ACAAAACTAGTTAGATTGTGTCCTGCTGCATGACTCATGCATATCTGTAACGTAGGTTGACGAATACCTGTCGTAATTGAAACCTTGGCAGACAGTCGAATGCTGTATGGCACACTACAGTAGTAGTAAGTACCGTAACGTATGTCTAATTCGATACTGTCCGACAGATGTCTGACGGATTCCGTCTAAGAATCATTATCCCAACAACACGCTAGATTAAAAAAAATCTGATTTCGACAATGTCCTGAATGACTGGGATGCAGGGCCCTCTGTCCGAAAAATGAGCTCGATAAATTGATGAAGAGAAAGTTGCAGTTTGCGGGTCTTAAATTAAGAACTCGTTCGTCAGCTCATATCTGAGCTGGATCCATGGCTAGACGATACAAAGGAAAACTTGTCAGAGGACGATGGCAAGAAACTGTTTGCTGCCATGGCCACCATGTTTGTTCAAGCAGTCAATGGTATAAGCAAAATTGTCGCCGAGCGCTCGCCGGACAACAAATAAAGTCTTGTATTTACCTCCAGTGCTGCCGCATCAACTGGTAGTCATGGATGTTTCTATTTTCCATCAGCTGATCAAGGGCCATCCCCCCTCGCCTTTCAGTTCGACTATCTTGTGCCGATAAACATAAAATCGGTCAAGAATTATCTCAACTCAGATGAGCATACTCCAGAGAGGAAGTGTTACACGAGGCGCTCGCCTCGCTCGGTGACGAGAGTATCAGCTTTGAAACTGGGTGGTCTTATATTATGAGTGGTTCAGCTTATTGAAGCAGTTTGTGGAGATCTGGCATCTGCATTTCCAAATACTACAGCGAACTCCATCCAACTACTGCATAAAATCGAACGCCATACTTATTTGGCCTGGATGGTATGGACGTCTTTGCTCGCATCCTCGCTTTAGTCCGCACAGTCAGTTCATCGATGCTACTAACGCCGATCGGCACTGCATAATCAGCAAATCTCTATTGGGAGTGCTGCACAACTCCACGACAACGCAAAGGGAATCCCTCTATTTATCAAACGACGGGGGTTCAGGAGGATGAAGCACCAACGTACCCCGAGTCTGCTGAAACCTAATTCTCGCCATAGTCTCAACTATTGTGACCTGACCTAGATAACGGCTCCTTGACCAATACTTCTCTGTCCGGCGAATTTATACGAATTTGGTTTTTTTTGTACTCCACTCACAATGTTACATGCTTTTCATTGGCTAAAAATATTATGCTCTAAATGACTGGTAGACGGCAGCAATTAGTGGCTCGCGGGCAAATGGCACTGGATTCACTATTGTGCAGCCCCGCGGACAAGATGCCTCGAGCTCCAGGAAAGCGCGACGTAACTCCGCAGAAACGGGTGACCATTGGCCTGTACCTCGCCGGACTCAGCGAGAACGGCCGGCTCCCTCGCGGCAGCAAGAAGCTCGTCATGCAGACCTTCAAGATCAGCCGGGGCTCCGCCGACAGCATCTGGAGGCTGCGACGGATCCAGACGCAATGACAGCAGCTCGTCGGCCGTACACTCAGCGCGAGCGACGTTTTAACTGCTTACCGCAATGGAGCCGCAGTAACAGCACTCAGTCTCCCTGAGAAGACGTATCGTCAGATGTAAGCGCTTTAACGCAGCAGATTCTTGATCAGAAGTAAAACGCAGCTTAAAATATAGCCTTAAATTTTACACTGAAGAGATTAGATAAAAACAAGGAAGGGGTAGGTGAAATTCATATCAGCCGAGTAAAACCTCGTTTTCCAAACGGCAATTTCACAGTACGTAGGCGCGTTGTATAGATGCAGCAAGTCATGGGAAGGTGCACAAATTGCTGACGATACCGTAGTAATTTTTTGATATAGTATCGCTATCTCCAAGCAGAGTTACGAAAAAAAAAGGCTTTGACGCATTGAAAACCAAACGATTCTTGCGCAGTTATTTACGCACTGAATGGAGTTAATGAACAGCAAAAAATACATGGGAATTTGCCTTGATCTGCTCTTTAATTTAGACTGGTCTGCGGCCGACAACTACAAAAACTGACAAACTAATTGAGCAAGGGGTGATATTCGTATAAATTCGCTGGACAGAGAAGAAAGGACAGACGCTCGTCGCTATTTTGAGTCGTACGAACGCGCTGAACTTAGACTCTGTGGTGACAGCGTGCCTAGTCCCAACTAGGACGTCTGCAGTCCATTTCCGCATTCTCTCTTCCAACAAGCCAGTAAAAGAAGAAGAGAGAAAACACCGTACTCTGTGTGTTCTGTCAATTGCTTTAGCCACTCGCCCCGAAGTCGTCACATGAAGTCTGCTCTGATCTCGAAGCGAGACCATGTATTGTTCTGCGATAGTCGCTCATTTCGTGACGCCGGTTGGCTCAACAATTGTCCTTAAGCAAGAACACGGTCTTCCATCGCCGTGTCTGCATCTGACGCTGCACCTCGATTGCTAGTATCCACCTCCTCAGACGCGTCTATTTTGCCGACGTCGTCTGCTTCCCACTCTCCAGTCATATCTTCCGTCTCGTCCTATTTGCTCATTGCGTGTGATGATCTGTTTTGAAAGTGCTGGCATTTAACAAACACATATCACGCGGATGATATATAACGTGGGGTAGGGAGATGCTCTGATGTCGGCCTCTAGCAGCGTCATAGGTACACTATGTGATGCATGCTCCATTATTTCAGCCAATGACATCTCTTTATTTGATTTGATAGAGACCCTTTTTAAGAGCATTTCCACCGGTGAAATCTATATTCTTATATTGACTGGACTGTTAAAAATTGTAGCTACCATGGTTTCACCGGGCATCTCAATCGCCATAGTTATACCTACTGGGGGATTTGAAACGCTATATTGGACAGTCATAGAGACGCAAAGCAATGGGAGTTTTGTCCATTTTTAAACTAGCGATGTCGGATACAGAAGACTCTGGGTTGTGCACTGCTTTGTGTTCAGCTTCACAAATTCCAGTCACCGGAGCCAGAAAAAAAGGTGGAAAATCTTTGGATTAGTATTCTGCAGTCGTACCGCAAGCTTGTGCCGAGCAGCAAACGCTCTCTAATTGCATTGAAGCGTCGCTGGTCGGATATCAATCGAAAAAGTGGACCGTTCGTTGTTTACTTGGCCGCCATGATCGGGAACAACAAAAGCGGAAAAACAGCAGGAGACAACAATGACGACGCTCTCCCACTATATGAAGCTCGTAAGGGAGAATATTTCCTTTTTTTACTGCTGCTTACGAGGTCATGAAAAACAAGCCAAAGTGGACGGATACTCTAAGCAAGAAGTGACCAGCGGAGTGCGACGGTTCTACAAGTGTGAAAACAGGAGAACGGTTACAAGGTACTAAAGCGGTGGTCGAATCGGCTAAAGAGACCAAGCTGCTTCAAATGCACTACGAAGCGTGCAAAACCGATGAAGCGAAAAACGATATTCTAAACGAGTGTTGAGCTTTTCGACATGCCTGACACGGATCCAGATAAATATACCTTTTTTTTTACCATGCCGCGACAGAAAAACTCGCTAAAATGGTGCAAGATACGACTGAGGTGGAGCACGACGACGCCGGCCCAAGCTCCATGTAATCAACGGCTCAACCGTAGCCTTTATCGTCTGTGGTCAGTGGATGTACGACTGAAGTTGCTGGTACTTCGTCTACTACTGAACACAGTTGAGTGTTGGTAGACACCAGCGCAGCAATGGGCAGAATGTAAGTGCCACGCGTGGTTTAAGTTCTTACTTCCTCCGTCCGAAAGTATAAGCAGGTCTCGACGGAAAATCCGAACTTAAGCTCAAAGTGCAAAATTTACTCGTTTTGAATGGTTAAAATTCAAGAACAGTCCTTTGCGGTTCGACACGTGGTCTTACTGTGGCAATTCGCCTTCAAGTTCTCAACCCCCCCCCCCCCCCCCCAAAGACTCCCACTACTCTGGATTTCAACTTTTACCCTTTGCCAGTCTACCAAAATGAGCGCACGCTCCGCCCCAACACCTAGCGTGCGGCTTTGCGTTATCGAAGCACGCGCGTTTTCCGAAAGGCCACAACGCTTTAATTCGCGGAATGATCATACGGCACAACGCTCGGTGATACGCGTCACGATCGACAGTAAATGTCTTCAACTCTAACGTACCGGCAGGGCGGTTCTTGCTCGAGCGCTCTGCCGGTTCGTAAACAACAAATGGCCATAAACCTACTTTTCCGTCCCAGATACGGTGTTGCTTAGCATCCCATCGTGGCCGGGCGATAGCAACAAGAAACATTACTTTGATGATGTTCTTTTTTTCACAGTAATATGAGGGGCGTCTTCGTGCTCTCCGAGATAGAATCGCTGCTTCTCTTTGTGCGGATAGAACCACTTTTCATCCAAATGCACGTAGTCCATCATGCTGTCGAACATTAGCGTGTTGCTGGGGCCTCGGTGCACGAATCCTAAAGCAAACTTGACTCCGTCGACATGCTGCTTCTCTGTTAGCATCGGCTTCACCCGTGCAGTGTGGCTGCGAAACACACCAGCGCGATAGTAGACATATAGGGTCGATTTTTGAATACCCAGAGCTCTCGCTAAAGTGTGAATATCCGTGCGATCCTCGAAAGGGATAAATTCGATGGACCTGTTGAGGTCCTCGCGGAACGCTTCCGTCATGCGGGACGTGCGACCGCTCTTTCCCTTCCTACCGTGATGGAGTTGTCTGCTTTGATGTCCTGAACGGCTCTGCGCCACAAACACCTGATCGTCGCTACAGCCATACTTGGCCGCGCAAGCTTGGATGCAGCCTCTTGGTGGCTGTAGCATGATGCTAACGCTTAGTAGGAATGCAACGACCGAGACACGATCCGTTGAAGATAGGTTTTTGCGCGTTCAGATGCTGATGACCCAGAGGTGCTGGCTGTAGTACGCACCACTAATATTTGAGTCACACATGTGAAGTGCACCCACACCCTCGTAGGTGATACATCCCCAAACCATCAAGGTCTCCCTCCCAGACTTAAATGTAGGTGCTAGACATTCGTTCTTGAACTCCTCCCCAAGCTTACGCCAAACGAAAACCCTCCCCGCAGCCCCAGTGAGCCAGACAGACGATTTATCACTGAACACTACCTTCTTCCAGTCATCGTCCTTCAACTTCAACATCTGTAGTGCATACGCATATCGCGCTTTGATGTTTTCTTGCTCAAAAAGTTTTTTTTCGAGCTGCACGACCAATAAAGCCATCTTTAATGTGGTTTCACACTGTTTGCTTTGACAGAGCGATGCCGTGATCTTTTCGACCATACTGACCAGCTTTTCAGCACTAAGGCGTCGATTTTTCTTTGCTTCCCTCACGATCAGGCGGTCCTGGCGGACAGTCGTCTTCCGAGGGCGGCCAGAACGTAGTAGGGAGTGCGTGTGGCCGTTTTTCTTTGCGTTGGAAACAAAAGTTTTGATGTTAAAGACTGGGAGCTTGAGCACATCAGCGATAGCCTGATAGGTTTGGCCGTCGTGGCGTTTTGCGACGCAGAGGTCGCGGATCTGCCTCGAATGCTCCACTCTAGGTCAATTAAAAAACTGTTAGTACTGCGGCAATGAGGGTGTCTGCGTTTCAAATCTCTTACCTTGTGCCAGTCATGGCAAAAACCAGAATGAGCGGCTTGGGCGTTGACTTTTTTGTCCCCTATTTTCCCTACTGAGGGACTCGACGTCCCATAACTTGCTATGCAAATATCGTCTCGTCAAAGTGAAAATAGATTCTGATTCGTTCCAGTCTGCGCTATTCAATGATATTTTGCTTTGATTGGCTGGATCTATGCACTACTCAAAAATTTAGGATTTGATCTCGCCAGTTGTTTGGACGTAGACTTTCTGTACCCACTGTATGTGCGGAAGGTGGATGGGAAATGAGCATTAGTCCACAGCCAGCTAATTTGCCCGATTACAACGCAAATGATCTCGGCTTCTTTGCTTCTCTGCAGTCATTACAGCACAAAAAGAAAGCCAAAACGATTGAGAACCTCGTTGACAACGTCGACGCCGCTTTCAAACAGCTAGACTTCTCCACTATTGACAGAGTTTTTGTCACGATGCAGTCCGTACTACAAGTTTCCATGGATGTGAACGGCAGCAACAAGTACAAGATTCCCCATCTGTTCAAGCGTCAGATAGAGAAGAGAAATGACTTGCTCCCTCGCTCCTTACCTTGCAGTGCGCTAGTGTATGCCAAAACCAAAGAGTTCTTAAGTTCGGCTGAACGGTTGAACATAAAAATAAAATTATACCGAACTTAAAACTTTTTTTCCGGACAACTTTCATTTAGAGAGCCGCTTATAGTTTGGACGGATGAAGTAATAGTTAAAGAGGACCTGTCCATGTCTACACATCATAGAACGGCCATCTTCAATGCAGAATCTTTATTGGATACAATATTTATCGGCAAGATTTGCCAAAAAAATAGGTTAGTATGTTTTTTTTGCAATAATATATTTGGTTTATGTTGGAGCGAGCACGAGGCCGAGGTGGCCGTAATACTGGGCATCGGTAATGCTGGGCATCGGTAATGCTGGGCATCGGCAGGTGAGCAACGAGGTTGTTGTAAGCCCTGAGCGAAGCTCGCAGGGTGTGTGCTGAGCAGTACAGGACCGATGAGCGGTGTACGTCAGGTCAATGATTTAATGCTGTATAGCCCAATGCTCGGGTTGTCTTGCAAGACAGGAGTTCCTTTGAGGAGAAGTGGTGACGGTGATGTCGCCACCCCGACCTCATCCAGCCTGTCTCTCTCTTTCGAGGAGGAGGAGAAGGGTGAGACGCCGAGCGTCTGTGACGTCGAGGACGTCGCACGAGGTGTCCAGAGTGCCCTGTGGTGAGGCTCCACGCGACGTGTTGCGCAAAGACGCTCCACGTCAAGGCTGTCAATAGCAACTGTACACACTCGTGAGTGTAATGACGAGAGGGTTGATGGCAGCGTCAGCCTTGGGTTTCTGCTCGCTGTGGATGCTCTGCTACAGTTGGACGAGTTTAACATGGTGCCTGGGCGAACAATAATGGACTTTGAAGCTCGTGCAAAGGTGGGGTCTTTTCAAGTACTTTACGCGATATCACTCGGTTGCAAGCAGCGGAAGTATTCATTGCTCTACAGTCACTGTGACGGGACGTCACACAGCACCTTGCGTTGAGGAAGCGTGCTAATGAGTATACAAACTCCAGGTGTATACATATTTACTTTTAGTTGCTTTTAACCCTTTCGCGAACTTTTCCACTTTAGTGAACTATAGTATACAAATCTAGGATAGTCGGTATCAAAAGGAGGCATTTTGCCTCCTTTAAGGCGAGTGATTGTCCACCTTCAAATCTTCCAAGTGTGATTTGCTTGGTTTTTCTATGCCCATAACGACCTGTCGTAAGCGTACTTAATTATAAAAGGAGGCATTTTGCCTCCTTTAACATGGATACATCGTCGTACTTAGCTGAAAAGCAGGAAAAAGGGGCATTCTGCTGCCTTTTATCGCGAAAGGGTTAAGACTGAATATATTTATAGGCGGCTCTAGTTTGGCCTGCAATACAAACTATAAATTGCCTTTAGTAAAACCTATATAGCTATGCAATGATTGGTTCTCAGAGTCACTGGTGCCGTGTACCATAGGTCAATGACGTGGGTGTGGTGTGGACACACCACAAGTAGCCATGTAGCCCCGCTACAGCCACTTTATACGTGATTTCATGTATTTGTTTCTGATCCGTGGCCTCACCCGGAAGAACAATGGCTCCCACTGGACATCAGCGGCTGTTCCTCCAGCTCAACGGAAAGATATGCGTAATGGTTGACTATAGTCCTGGTTGGGCATTCGGGCGGGCACTGGAGTTGCTTCGGAGTTTTTCCACTCTCTGTTTTAGCGAGGCTAGTGGCAATTTTCGCCGTCGAATCACTGTTCATCTTTGGCCAGTCGATAGTATTAGCGCTGAGCCTTCTTATCTTTGAGGAAATGTCAACAGCACGATGTCATTGATAAAGCAATCACGTTTTTCTAGACCAACGAGACGCTCGAACTGCCCCTGCAGAACAGCTAATTAGCGATTCTAAAGTGGGGGAGCTAGCCAGCAAAAGCAGATAAATGTTCTGCTCCTCCCAGGAGCGCAACAATGTCCACTTTCAATACAGTAAATACGCAACTTTGGGCATTTCAGCGGCATTCAGATAAACCTAAACATTTGTTTTGTGATTAAAGCTATAAACTCGTGCCGGACAACGTCACACACGCGTACACACAATAAGAAAGTACACGATTCAGACTAAGTTGCGCAGAATCTGTACTTTCTGACGGCGTCTAAACGTGAGCGTCCAGCAGTCCTTACCGGTTTTGTGGTTCTGGCCACCAAAGTATATGTTCATTATACGCAAATGGGAATTCTCTAACACATTAAATACACTTGTATTATTTATGACATTGGTGGATAGACTAGGCGTCGTCATAGAAGGTGTATTCTACAGGTCGATCCATTAGAAAGTATACGGTAACCTGCAAACACGATAAGATATGATTGCCTATATTATGCATATCAACAGCTAATTAGCACCGTTCTCGTTGGCTCTATGTTGCAATGACCTTTCTGGTAATACCACTTCTGAAAATAAATAATAGCATATCTCCCCTCTTCCCAAGGTGATCGAATAGCTCATTGTACCTGAGTATATTTGGGGTAGTTGTTTTACCGGATTTATAGGTTGCTATATTCATTGAATTAAGACATAATCAGCGTAACGTGAGCTCGCGCCAAATAGTATATTGGCAGGTATGCGAACATGGGCGTGGAGTCACCTTGTTCTTGTTTGCGGCGGCGAGGCCTTGATGTTGCGTGTCATCGGTCGTCTAGACAAGTGGTTACTTCCGTCGACAACGACAATCGATACATCGATTGTCTTGTCAAGCTGCTGTCACCGTGGGTTGTGCAAGCACGAAATCGACAAGACGCTCATCGATCCCCTTTTTAACGCGGTTTCTCTTCTACCAGTAAGATGGCAGAGAAATCCCACGTCGATTGCTTTGAATTAGCTGGCATTTGACGCTGAACAGCGTAGTACGAGCAGCTATATTGTGTTTGCATCTCATGCATTTCCATTGGCTTAAATTGAGCTATTCGGTTCAGGTTGGACATAGCAACTTGATTATGGATGCGTGTTGACTCGTCAACATTGAGGCTCGAGCAACCTCACAGGATGAAAATCATTTTGATTTTTTTTTTGCAACAATCAAGTTTGCCATCAAGGAATTTAATTATGTGACGCTAAGGAGATATTGGAATCAACCGTCACCAAGCTACGTAAACGATTAGCAAGTTTCATTGGTAAATAAGGATAGAACTAGGATTGGTAGGTTGTAGGATGGGGCCTGGGTACTTGTGTGCGTGTCATCGTTGCCAGGACTGGTGGCTTCATGGACCAGCTTTAGCCTAATTGATCAATCAATAGCTTTTTAACTTCCTCTCTAACCAACAGCCGGTGTCTCCAACTGCGTCACCAAGCTTCAGGTCTTTGCCTCGGGTCTTCGCATCGACTGTTCGTTGCCCTCTTCCCACCAAGCCTTGATGGGTGCTATCGTCGATGTTCATGATCAGCTTCATCTCCAGCGCTAGGCGCTTCAGCGAGGGCTCACATTGCACAAGTGCTACACAGGTCCTGCACTTGGGCTGATTTGCGTGGATGAATATAGTAAATAAATAGCTACATCGCCCACACAGCATATTACAAGACTGAGACTTAAATTCCTGACGCAATGTTACGTTTCTCAAGAACCGCATTAACAGGCGCGGCGGAAACTGCCGGTGATGTGGTCGCTGTTCCTTCTCTCCACGACCATACCAGCGTCGGTTTGTAGCTACAGGCAGCAATAAATGGCAAGCGTCGGTAGCATGCGGGATGGTCGTTCTTTCTCAAAATGTTGTAAAAAACGAACAACGTCGAAGTCAAACTCACTGACGTGTGCGGATGTCAATTCATACCAGATCCACGTCATCTTGTCACCGCGGTTAGCACAAAAACCATCATTAATCACGCCGCAAACATAGTACACCGCAAATGTGTCGAGTTGCGTTGTAGATGCAATATTGGCAAATTCATTTTTTCTATTCACAGCCGAGTTTCTGTTTCACTTGTGTCACCACGTACTCAGTATCGTTCTGCTTCACCGACGCGTGTTCTTCCTCTATGCGATCTGTAACGGGTCACCCGGTTACATAAGTAATTTAGTTTTAGATATTACATAAGTAGACAAAGTGGCACACGGGTACCGTATTAATCGGGCCCAGTGCGACAAACGGATTCAATGCGAAAGTATACAAATTATGGGTGACACCCCGTCCTTACATAAACATTACACCAATTAAGTATTTGATAATATAAAAACTAATTTGAAAAATATAATATAAATAACGATGGCAAACAAATTTATTGATCGTTGTCTTCGTCGGCGTCCTGGTCGGTAATGAAATCGTCCGGCAGCGCCTGTAGGAATGTAGCAAACACACCATTCATATTGCGGGGCCCAATCGGTATCAGATTGGCTCTGCGAAATCCTTTTACGATTGTCTTTACATTGACGAGATCCCACGCTTTCGCTACAAGAAAGGAGAGCATAACACGTCTTTCGGCAGCATTTGTAGGGAATGGATGGTCAATGTGGTATTTCAGGTACAGATCCCTGTTATCGAAGTAGTAATTAGCATTTTTAAAGTGATAATAAAGCAATGAAATAGTACTTACTAAATCTTCGTCTTGAACGACTTTATCACACTTACATCCATCGGCTGGCTTAGACCAGTCGCTCCCGGAGGAATGAACTGGACTTGAGTAGAATAATCGTTTCGAGACGATGTTGAATGATGCTCATTTTGTGGACCTTGAAGTTATCCAGAAGCAGCATCCGACATCCAAGCACAATAGGTCTCCAGATCTAAAAGCACAAACAAATACTTTAAATCCAAACTTAAAAATAAAAAAATAAAACCCAACCTTCTCAATCCACTCCACCATAATGCCATGGTGGCACCATGCCTTAGGTTGCACGGTGTGTTCAACAGCACTGCTGCCAAGCGAAGGAGCCATCACCTCGTTTGCTATGCGACATCCAGGTACACTAGCAAACACGACGAAAGGCGGCAGCTTTTCTCCAGTTGCCGAAGCGCATAAAAATACGCTGCAACGTCCTGAGTTTTCAGAAGCTCCTTGAATTATGTCGATAGTTATTTTGCCAGGGTTGTCGACAAAATGGCTGCCTGGTCCATATTGAACAAACCCGAGTATTTGTCTTTAAAGAGCGATGAAATGATAAGATTACATCCATTTCAACAGCTACATTCTCCGAATTTGCAAACATATCAGCAATATCCTAACATTAAAATAAAAATATATAAGTTAGGATCAACAATAATAAAATAACGCGCAAAACATTTCACCTGCATGTCTCCCCTGGTTTTGCAACCCTTGTGAGTGACACGTCGAACAACTAATCGATTTCTCTTTAAAAATCTCGCTGTCCAGGACCGCAGGGTAGCAGACGACAAAACAAAATGTTGAGAAGCGCAGCGCCAAGAACCAACGTGCCCGATCAGCTGCATTGTCTATGACAACTGCGCCTACCTTCTGTCCACCTTTCTGAGCTAAAATCGTAATTCTTTCCGTCTCGTCGGCAATGTTACTCCATCCTGGCGTGGAAATTGCCTGCGGTATTACATACCTAAAGCATATTCTGTAAACACGTCCTGTCACAAGTCCGCTAAATCCGCTGGTCGGGGAATCGTGCTAAACCCAGCACACCAGCCTTTTTTTTTTTTTTTTTTTTGCCACATACGACCCAAAGGCCACGTTCTAGTCCAGGAGCGAGCACCACAACGATAAAAGCGCAGACACGAGCGACACGAGCGACGGCGAAACGAAGGACGACGAAGAAGACTGGAT